GTGAAAGCTACTCAACATCCGAAATGCCATTGACCATTTCAAGCACAAATCAGTGAAATTAATTAAGGGCAAGATTTTTTTCGTTTTCTGCATTCTTAGAGGATTAGTTGGATTAAGGCTTTGCATTTTCTGTAGCCGAGGTGTTTAGTTTAGTTTACTGTGTCGGTTTGTTAGTGTCACGTCTAATTCTCCCTCTTTTTCGGGTTTCCATTTTTGCTGGGATTCGAACCAGGTTGTCCCGCCTGCTTGGTGGACATTCTGCCACTGACGCACGATTTTACTTCATATTCGAATTAAAATAGACCATTGTGAACGATTTATAGTCGTGACATGCAAATCTAACAAAATATTAATTGTTAAAACAATCTAATTGTGTAGAGTGACATCACTTATATCAACCAATAGTGCTTTCTAGCTAAGTAGAAGTAATCTGAACAGCAGACGCGCGCCTTTATGGTAAGCAACCAAATTTCTTGGTGTTTTACTTGGTTATACCTAGTTAAGAGAGTCGAATCGGTTGGAAACAAAACACTAATTCCGACTGACTACTTTGCGCTGATTGTATATTCTGAAGTATAATAATGATCAATTCAGTATGGCCAATGATCCCCATATTCCGCTAAATTATAACGGGCTTACACTCGTAAAAAATTATATTTGTAAAATCTCAACGCGATTGAAATGAGTAATTCCAACGTTTTGTTCGGCAATGTGGTCCGAACTTATTCAGGGAAATTAATCGAAGACATGTTCCTTTTATATATAAACCTCTGTTATGTTAATTTAGATTAATCTCCCTGAAGAAGTTCGGACCAGATTGCCGAACGAAACGTCGGAATTACTCATTTGAATCTCGCTGAGAATTTACAAATGTCCACCTCTCACTTGGCGCCCAAATATTTTAGAACTATTCTGTCTAATCTTGATGACAGTTCATTCGGGCTTACAGTCACTTTTCTAATCTCAGGGGTAATCAGATCTTTAATTTGAGATTATTGATCAATGATTAATAGTGTGTTACTCAGTAACGATATTTTTTAAGAAATAGTTAAGTGTCTTTTACGACATCTGATGGTCCTAGGCTCGAACCTAGGTGTACTTGTACACTGCTAAGTTGTTATAAGTTAAAATGAAATAACTTCTTAGTTCTTTAATCATTTCAGATTTTGACAACAAAATAAATTAATCTAATACCTACTAGTGACTAACGATAGACGTAAGGGTTTGAAGTTCTAGTAAGGAGTTATGACCAGGTTGGGAGTGAGGGCGAATAATCTCCTGTGTGATTTTGAATGGTGGTAGCGCTACATATATCGCAAATTGATCAGAACTAGAATTCATGGACTGTTGGATTCCGCTCCAGTGGCTACACGATCAACGCGCTCACCTTCTTACCTGAAGTTCTTGGGTTCGATTCACAGTGGAGTCATGGACGCTTACTACTGAATAGTCCCAAACTGACTGAGAACTTACAAAAAAAACTGCACAAATGCGCACCAATTCAAGATGCATCACTCTGTGGGGCGTAGAAAGTCAGAGAAAAGTGATTCAAATGAACTATAATGAGGAGGCCGGTTAATGACATCGCGCGCGCATCAGGCCATTGCTCGAGTGGAACTCGAAAGGGAAGAGGCGAGTGGGACGTCCAAGGGTGACATGGAGGAGATCGTGTGAAGAGGAGTTGAAACAGTATGGACTAGCACAGATGCAGGTGAAAAGTACAGCAGAAGACAGAAGCAAATGGAGACGTGCAGTAGAAGCCGTCTGTTCCACTAGGAACCCAAGGGAACAATAATAATGAGCAGAATTGTGCGGAAGAAAGAATAATAACTTGAAGGAAACATGAAGACTTAGCGGATTCAGGAGATTACAAACAGTAAGTGCATTTCCACCATTAAGTACGAATTCAAGCCTTATCATCAGTAGTCGTTGAGTGCCGAAGACGCCAACCAATGAGTCTACATTTCACTAGCTTAAGCCAACTGTCAGCGACTTCAACTCTTTTCCAACCTACTCCTATCTCAGTTAACATTGCTTGACGAAGAATGTGAGGCCAATGGCATGCGTGACATTACGCCCTAGCCATCTCAATCGGTACAGCTTCAAAATCTTGTAGATTGATTTTTCCACCATAAAGAAGAGCAAAGCCAACTGCTCCATAGTAAACTTCTCCATTGATGGATAGTTAGATACCGCGCTTACGCCAAAGATGACGCAAGTTAGGAAACGTCACGCGTGAGCCCTTTTATCCGTGCTGAGATTTCGGCAGCAGTCAATCCATTAGGGTTGATGCAACCTCCCAAATAAGTGAAGTGATCAACACGCCCTGCTACTTCACAATTCCCATCTTTAATCTGGAAGTCAGTGTAGCATCATCTTATGTTTGTCTCATGTGTCCACAATCTGTCGCATTAGTACGTTAGCCAGGTAAAGACAAATTACCTGTTGTCGCATGACAGGCGTCAACCAATTAGAATCCGCGACGCTGTTAATGCCTACTTTCCAAACCTTTTCACTCGATCAATATATGCCATACATTTGCGTCACTTCCTATCTCGCTTTGTTTGGAAATACACATACCCAACTCTAGTACATAAGTCTTCTAGAATTTACTAGTCTCGAGTCAGGGAATAATCGACCAGGGTCAAGCATTCATTATCGTCAGTTAGCATTCGTATTCACACTCAGCAACATCATAACAGTAAGACAGAAGCGAATCGCATGCCAAATACTTGAAAATCCCTGCTCGATGGGGTTCACGGCACTATGCTGTTTATCGGCGTCCTACCTGATAACAAGGTAATCATTAAGTCAGTTAGGGGCAGTTCTATTAGTATATCTGTGGTGAAATTAAATAAGAATGAGAACAATAGATATGTCTAACGGGCACCACTGGTTGTCATCAATTCAAATGGTAGTTTTTCGTAGGCAATGCATGAGGCCAAGCAGTGCGATGTATTTTGTCGGCACTCTCTTCACTACCGAATATTGCCGTAGTATCTCTCGGTTGATGGAGCCGAATTCCGCCTTCAGGTCAATAAATATCACAATGATTGGATACTGGTAATACGCCTATGTTCCAGAATCTATCGAAGGGTGAATATACGATCTGTACACCCTCTATCTGGCCTTCTCGTCTTTATTTCTCTTAAGTACAACTTGATCTATTAATAATTGTTCAGTCTAAAACTTTGGATACCACATTAGTCTAGCTATCACAGGAAGGAGATTCATCGTCCTGAAGTTTCTGTAGCAACTTTGTTTACAGGGTGGGGTTGGTAGCCTCACGCCTGAGAAGGGGGTTGATACATCAAAATATAGTTTAGAGGAAAGCGACCTTGTGGGTTGCTCCCCTTAAAATCAAATCGCCGTACTACGGATCATCATTGAACAAAGCTTGGAATGGCAGTCACCTCTCTATCTCAACTTCATCGACTTTGAAAAGGCCTTCAGCTGACAGCGTTGATCGAAAGGTGATTTGGCAACTACTACGGGGTACCGCCGACATTTATACGTCTCATCAAACAGTTGTACGGCAACGCTGCATGCCAAGTAATCCACAACGGGAAACTTACGGAATCCTTCGAAGTGAAGACGGGAGTAATACAAGCTGGCTGTCTGCTATCTTCAATGATTTTCCTGATTGTGGGCGGTAGACTGGATAATGCGACAGACAGAGGCGGGAAGCGAGGAAACAGGCATAAAATGGACCCACGCAAAAAACTTGGAGGATCTGGATTTCGCCGATGATCTTTGTCTGGCTCCCACAAACTGGAAGACATCCAAGTGAAAAGCAACAAGTTGGCAGCAGAAGCATCAAAGATAGGACTTCAGGTGAACATAGAGAAAACAGGTGATGAAGATTCCTGGCCGACACCAACAGACAACAATCAGCACAGACAGGAGAAATCTGAAAAAAGCAACCTCCTTTACCTACCAACCTGAGAAGCAGCATTTCAACTGCAGACGGGCGGAACTGACGAGGATATCAAAGCATCGAGGACCGGGAAAGCAACGCAAGCTCTCATTACTTTCAAATCTGTTTGGAGGTCAACAGCACCCCTCAGCATGAGAAATAAGATCCCGATTTTCAACTCCAACGTGAAGTCACTGCTACTATACGGATAAGAGGTTTGGCCAGCGCGTCACGAAGGCCACTTCGAACAAACTACATACCTTTATCAACAGCTGTCTTCGCTCAATACCACTCAAGATCAGATGGCCGGCCAGAAAAGATCAGCGACAGGGATCTCTGGAGCGAACCAAACAACCCAAGGGGAACGAATTGTGCAACAAATCTGCAGGAAGAAATGGAGGTGGATTGGCTGGCCATACTCTGAGAAAACAAACCATCAAGTGACATCACTAGAAAAACTATTGCTCGAGTGGAACCCACACAGGAAGCGGCGAGTTGATCATCAGTGCGAGAGTGACATGGAGGAGGTCATGTAAAGAGGAGATGAAAGCATGTGGGCAGACTTAGAGCCAGGTGAAAACTTTAGTAGAGAACCGAAAGCAATGGAGACGCGCGGCTGAAGCCCTACGTTCCTCTAGGAATTAAAGGAACCAATAATAATAACATGAAGGCTTATTTCCCTTCATGTATACTAGATAATCAGTAACTTACATCAGTCCAACGGGACTATCTCTGATTCCAAGACATTGCCTAATATTTTAGCCCAGATAGCAATATGTCGCCACCGTCCTTAAACACCTCTGGAGTAATCCCACCATCAGGTCCTGCTGCTTTCGCCTCTAATCAAATTAGAGACGGCTACAACAGATGGAAACGACCGATGTCTATATCCCATTCACATAGATGTTAGATATTGAGCATGGCTATAAGCCAGTTTAACTGCTCCTCAAAATGTTCCAGTCAGATTAGTGGTTAACTTCGAAACTCGGGCGAACATTGAACTACACTCATCCCCAATCCGCCTCCTCGACGTTCACAACCAGACAAAAAGAAGTGTCATCCACATTAACAAAAAACCGTGATATTATTAATTAATCTTTTCTTTTTAAATATACACAAGAGAAAAAATGTACAATTTTGATGAACACAACAAATAAAAAATTTTTTAAAAAAAAGAAGAAATTATACAAAACACAATTATTAAGCATGCGCATTATTATATAAGCGAATACACACTTCCTCTTTTCTGCTTCATTTCTTAGCATAATGATGAATAAACTGGTATTCAAAAGAAACTGGAAGTAAAGAATAAAGGCGCATACAATAATAATAATAATAATAGGTTCATCTTTTTGACAAGAAAGAAAATAAGGAACAAAAAGAAGCCGAGAGTAACTCTGCGTCTGTCTGTAGGTGTGTGTGTCTGTGTATTGTCGTGATATTTGTTTAGTTCAAACAAAAATAAGACAACGAATAAACGCCCGAGATAATACTTTATCCATGAATGTGTGTGTGTGTCAGCTTTTTTTTTCTCAACGCTTTTTTCGTCTTCTCTGTGATGATTTATGTGAATTTCCTGGTTGTATTGAAATTTCACAATTCTCAAGTTCATCTTTTGTTAACTATTTTAAAACAAAAAGCAAATTAAAGGTTCACAAATCAATCATAATAATAATAATGATGCCTTTATTTCCTCAATGGGCAATAGTATTAGCTGACATAGGTGATGGTTGAAAAAGAGCCAGTACTAGTGGTCAAACCAAAACATGGCTTGATTAGTCAATGAAATCCACAATACAGTTAATTTAAGCCAGCTACGTAGGTACGTGTACACTTCCTGGTTGATTGCCGTCTTTGGGATAGTTAAAACCAATGAAGGTTGGAGACAATTGATGCTATGGCTTGAAAAAAATCCTTCTCAATGGCTGGCACAGATGCATACACACTCTCCAATAAAGCTATACGATTCTTCGATTTTGCTATTCATTTTGTCTCATATCTCTGTTTCGCATTTCTTTTCACTTTTTTTTTCTCTTGCTTTGTGTGTTAAGTGAAGTGTGGCGACTCGAACATCCGTGCAAAGTTCTACGTTGAAACCAGTCAGTCGCCTTTATTTCAAACAGTACTCTTGATTCAAATATGGAATTTTTCAGCATGTAATAATACAGTATTACACTTAATTTTCTCATTACATAATACTGTATGTTTTCGACATAGAACTTTGCGGCAGGTCAAGTCGCCACACTCCCTTCATGTAGCACACAAAGCAACAGAAGAAAGTAGAAGAAATGCATATTAGAGACAGTAAACAGAGGTGTGAAACAAAGGAATAGTAATATCGAAGAACAAAACAGTTTATTGGAAACTATAAGTCACAAGGAGTGGATGCATCTGTATCAGCCATTGAGAACGATCACTTTGAGCCATATCACCAATTGTTTCGAACCTTCATTGGTTTTTACCGTCCCGAGGACCCCAACCAGTCTACATCTTCCTACGTGGCTTGAGCTAACTGTTGTGGATTTCATTGACTGGTGAAGCCATGTGTTTGGTTTGTGTACCATGTGCTAGCTCTTTTCCAGCCTAACCCTATGTCAGCTAACATTGCCCGTCGAGGAAGGCGATGATTAGGCATACGTAACACATGTCCTAACCATCTCACTCGATGTAGCTACACAGCCTCGTCGATTGATTCCCCCTCCTTACCTAGCACTCGAAGCAGGCCTAACCTCAATATTGCTCACCTCATTATACCACTTCACACCGGAGATAGGACACAGGCACCTATGAACAAAGACAGCCAATCTTTTCATGTCTTCCACTTTCAATGGCCAAGTCTCACAGCCATAAAGGAGGACGGAGCGGACTGGTGAGCAGTACACCCAGCCTTTGGTCGATAGCCAGCCGGATATCACGTCTACGCCAGAGACAGCGTAAACTGGGATATGCGAAGCTAGCCCTCTGTATCCGTGATGAGATTTCGTCAGAGATCAACCCGTTGAGGATGATGGTACTTCCCAAATAAGTGAAGCGGTCAACGTGCTCTACGACTTCATTGCCTATTTCTAATCTAGGAGTCGGTGTAGTCCACTCCTGTAACATCATCTTGCATTTGGCGGGAGCGAATCGCATGCCAAACAATCGTAGATTGCAGCTCAAGGTGTTCCGAAGACTCTGGATTTTGTCAGCATCCTCGCCTAGAAGGACTAAATCGTCTGCATATTCTAAGTCAACGAGATTATTCCCTGGTAGCAAGTCAATCCCTAAGTCGCTGAAGTCACTTAGGGTTAAATCCACTAGCACATCTATGATGAAATTGAATAGAAATGGGGATAATGGGCATCCTTGACGGACACCACTAGTTGTTACCACTTCAGATGACAACTCGCCGTAAGTCCTTACATAATACAGGGGTAACAATCAAAACAGCACTTAGGTTGATAACAATATTAAGTAAAAATATGAATGAAAAATTAGAATTTAAGCAGAGTAAGAAAGATATGTACGGATGATTTCTTACATAAGGAATTTGAATATATTCACGATTCCTTGACGGAGATTGGCTATCCGAGTAGTTTCATAGAGAAACATATGAAAACATTAGAGAGAAAGCCTGAGACTATGACTGCGCGTAAAAAACCTCTATTCATCAAGTCACAATTTAATGGTGACTTGGCAAGTGAGATTTTATTCCAAAGAATTTCAAAGAGTATGCGGAGAACATTTTACGCAGCACACCTATGTTTGTCATTCTCTAGCCAACAAATGATTGGGACGTAAACGAAGGATAAGCTAGATAGTTTTGCCACATCTATGTGCATTTATCAATTCAACTGCACCTGCGGTGACAGTTATGTTGGACGTACTACTAGACAGCTTAGCCAACGTGTCGTTACTGAATATCTCCCATCGTGGTTTGCCAAAGGACAGACGAAAACAATCCGTAGCTCAATTCTGTCACATTTAATTGATAGTGGCCATGTAGTGGAGGAAATGAGAGCTTTCAAAGTAATTCATCGTATCCCACCGAATCTTTCAAACAAACTTCGTATTCGTCTACTGCACACAGCTGAGACGATAGGCACTCGAACTATTAAACGTAAACTATGCATTCAAAAAGCCATTATCCCTCCCTTATTGGCCTATTAAGACATAACCAACTGATGACTTCTACACTACTCCTTTCTTATCATCCCTTAATCTTATCACATCTTCATAAATATTGTATCTCATTTACTTCCCTTACAATCTGGCATTACTTAGTCGGTTCATTTGTTTTTACTAGCCTTTATCGACTACTTCCACCTGAACATTTGTTTGTTTAGTCAGGCTGTTTTTCGTTATTCGTGTTACCACAGATCGTTTGACATTTTTTTATCCTTATTATTGATAAAACTATTATTATTATTACTATTATGACTACTTGCACAATTTATATTCACCATCTTATTATCCTACAGACAAAACACCTTGGTTGGTTTATATTTGAATTTTACTGGTAAAATTTTTGTTTCTAGTATTATTGTAACGACAGAAGACAAGGACCAGGCAACAAATCGCTTATCGAGAAAATCAACAGATATTTATAGATTTTTAAGTAAATTATAGATTACTGTTAGCAGACAAACACAGTCATCTGACTGGTTGCTTCTCGCTGAAAGTTGATCTTTCATCTCTTCGTGGCCGTTCCTAGAAGGTCAGATCATCTATCTGCGAATTGCATCCGCCCACGCAAAGTCTGCTGTGATTGATTGTCGAGTCAGTCTTTGTTCTTGTTTATCTCATGACCAATATTTGGGACGTAAACATTGACGTAAATTACTGTCTGCCGATTTTGGCTAGCAGAGAGCTCTCACCACATTACCTGATGAGATTTATTGAGACGGAGTTGTATATAGAGAGGATGCTCAGATGCCGACAAGATAACACATTCGCTAATTTTTCACAACAGCCGATGGTGTCTCTCTCTACAGCACAGAAGTAATAACAAGTTAGTTTAACCACTCGCCCTACTGAGAACTTTTAGTGCTGTTCGCATTAAAACAAACTATTTCTTACATAGCCCAGGAAAGATTGAATTTGAGGGAGCAATGAAGAAGAATAGGTTGTGGTATACATGGATTCGGCTGGTGGACCAGAAAGCACTACTGGTTGATGTGCTTGGTATACACAACTCATAGGCCACTGGATCGAGTCCCAGTGGTTCAATGGTCTACGAGCTCGCCTTGTAACCAGAAGTCGTGGGTTCGAACCCTGGCAGTGAGTGCGTACTGATGAAAAGTCCCAAACTAGGACGGAGGAAACAACTGTCCAGTACTCCCAGGCTTTCCAGCGGCTCTCTAACTGATGTCAGCTTATGACGAAATCCTCCAACCGATTATTTCAATCAGTTAAGAGAAAGAATGATTGAAAGAAAAACAAAGAAACAAAGATTAATTACCTCTTCATTTGTACCCAGCTCATTTAATTTATCACGTAATTCTAAATTTAATAGTAATTCACGACATTCTTCACGTGCTGTTTTTGCCTCTGTTTCCGCTTGTTCTGTTCTTTCACGCCAAGTTTTTCATTCAAAAGTAAACTTTTATTTAATGCTCTCTCTTCTTCTAACTCTTTTTGTAAACGTTGTGCTAATGATGTTGCCTTGAGTACAAAAACAGGAGGGGGCGATAGGGAAAAGTGTGAATATTATTAAACAATGAGAAATCTTTAATGAGGTGTTTACAAATTAGGAGAATACATGCTTCACTCTTCATAAAGAGAAGACCTGACCTGGTTGATAACTAGGGGGAGAAAAAGATGATTTAATCTACGCATAACAGAAATACTTCTTTGAATTCCGAGTAAAGCATACGACTTCAAGCTTAAAGCTTCAAAGTCTCAGTGACAATGTGATGTTGCTAACCTCGTTTATCACCTTCTTACTTTTCTGAACTTTATGTCAGCTGCTAATAAGAGGCGACATTTCAGAATGGATCAGTCCGGAATCGAGCCTGGATCACGTGCGTGGTTGGTGAGCATTCTGCTATTGAATGTACACTATTATGTTATGTTTTGAATTGATGCTAATTGGTTGGAGGCAATAGATAGAAAGCTCTGGATCCAGATTTTGTGACTATTGGCAATTAACAGCAGAGTGAATCTGCACACTTGAAGGAACTGACTCCCGCAGTCACAGGCACTACTACTTCATTATTCTGACTCACTAGTGAACTCCTGTAGGACTTGTAATGGATACATTGGTTTTTTATTGGGGTGGAATCCGTAGGTGTGTAATTCTTAGTTTCGGTACTGATTAGATTCAGTCAAGTTTGCGATATGATCACTAGTTAAGTGGTTCACCATCGTGGTGGACTTTGGAGTTAATGTTAGGCTGCAAGGATTCAAGCCTGTACCAACACTAAGGACTAAACATATGGCAATGGTTATTACCTACTGACAAATCAATATCCTATTATGGTATGGATAAACAGTAAAACAGAAGACGACTTGAAGGAAGTATTGTTCGCTGTTAAGCGGTGGACACTAATAATCAACATCGAGGATTGTCTACTAAGGTCTGTCTCATGGTCATTCATCTACGTATTAAATACTCCGGTGAAATAGCGTATATCATGTTTCTGTTTCTGCATAGGGGTACGAGGCTTTGAAAGTTGATGAGTTGCTCTCATTCCACGAAGATTGGGAAGATATGCAGCGAGGAAATGATTGACGAAGAACTGCATAATTTCCGAGGAATCCTGATGGAAAACGATTTTCCGCCCAGATTTATAGACAAGAATCCCAAATCAAAGAAGACTTCCGAACAAATTCAATCTCTCCCGAAGAAGATACTTATGCTTAAAATAGAATTCAAAGGTGACATTGAAGCAAAAATCCTTCGTAAATGCCTCTCCAAATCTCCGGGGAAAACACACTTCGCCACGAGCCTACGACTGACATTTTCCTGCAGCCAGAACGCGAAAGACGATCTGTCGCATTGGGCTACTTCAACATGCATATATACCAGTTTACTTGCTCATGCGGAGCTGAGTACATCAGCCGTAGCACGCGCCAAATTGAAAAACGCGCTCTTGAACACTATCCAATCTGGCTAGTAAAAGGAGAACGGAAACGTGTATATAGTTTAGTGGCAGAACATTTGGTCAACTCAGGATATTCGGCGCCATTCGAAAAATCCTTCAAAATAATATACAAGATTGGATCAAACCTATGAAAGGGAGTAGAATTAAGACATTTGGGCATAGCCAAGGCACTAGCTATCCAAAAGCTCAAACCCACGCTATGTATCCAAAAGAAATACGTCGCACCCTTGTCCCTGATATGGCCATAATACACAGGTCATTCTTTTAGTAATGACCTTTTTTAACTGCCTTTCTTATCCAAACACCCTGTTTATACGTGTTATTATTTTTAAGTTTTTCTTAATCTCTACTTACACTACCATATTTTCATATCCGAACTTCCTGTCTATTTTGTCATTTTATTGTTTCTACATATTTAATCCCTGATTGCATAAACAATTATTCGTCACATTAGCTATGATACCAGTAGATTTCTTACCGAAATATCCTGTCTATTTTTGTTATTTCAACATTTCTAACCCCCAATTGCACAACATATCAGCCTTCTCAGTAATTATGATGCTACTTTGTTTGAGTTTTATCCGTCCCCCTGTTTATTATGGCATTTTAATTCCTAAATGTAATTTTATTAATTTCACCCTTGATCGGAAATTATTCTGAAACTTTCCCATTCATTTATCATAAATAAATACGCAATGTACAGCCTAGTTGATAACTTCGTCGAAAAGTAAAATTTTCTTCGCTGTAACCGTCTTTTTAATAACTCCTATGATCCAATATGTATATTCCGTGATTACCAACTAGTTATCGAACAACATTTTACTATTTCTACTTGTAATTAAGAACAAATAAGTCAGCAAAGAGATTTCTTTCTATAAAAGAGAATTTATCGTATACACACCTTTGTGTCTTTCTTCTGCTTACGCCAGTAAATATGCTCCCATCTACTTTTCTAACACCTTCAAACACTGTTCAATTTTTGGCTTTGCTACCGACATACCAATATGTTGTCATTATGAACTGAGATTTCCTTAATCTATGTAGAATTTTATTTATTGATAATGTACTAACTGGATGCAATATTGTAGTAAAATGCTGAGAATTCCATTCTGTATCACAAGTGCTCTTTTGGAATAAAGCAAATTATTATTATTACGCTTCCAGTGGAACATAGGGTTTCAAGCTGGAGGCTTAAAATTTCGTTAACAGTGGTGTTTACTTTTACGGGATGGAGTTGACAGCCTCATGGCCAACCTGCCCTCTTAACTGGTCTTATTAGTGAGGTAAAGGAGTGCGTTAGCTGGGGTTCGAACCCCAGACCACATGAGGAGTGGTTGGTGAGCATTCTACCGCTGTACCACCGACGCCCAGCTTTCAATATACGAGTGAAACAGATATACCTTCATTTTTTGTTAACTAATTCAGCCAAAACACTAGAACCAGCTGGTACCAGAAGCAAGAATCACTAGGAGCTACTAATTACCACCGAAAAACTACTTTGCAGGCCTTAATACACTATTGACAGGAAAAAGCAGAAAGTTGCAGCGAAGGAAATTTTGTTTTGAAAGAGGTTATTAACTAAACTATATATAGTTAGGGGATGAAACAGTTGCAGAACTAGTCCCGGTCAAAGATCGAATCATACCGAACAACAAGAGGAAAATACGAATAGGCATTGAAAAAGTAATCATAAGAAAAATAAACAGGAAGTTAGGATGAAAAACATAGTCGGACTGTTTATTATGGTCATGGTAAAGAAAAAAATTGGGAGTATTTATTTTTATTTATTTTGATTACAGCTTGATTCCACACTGTATTTTTCGTACAGGTATGGAATTTTCAGCATGTAATACCTGTAGCCAAAATTTTGCAGGCCGACCATAGATATGGGGTGTGCGTCGGCAGGGGGTCGAACCCCGGACCATGTGCATGGTCGGCTAGAGTCCTAACCACTGTGCCACCGACGCAGCGCAAATGTTCTGACCTCACTCGCACTGAGAAGTTTCATCAGGTCTCGTCCAAGAATTCGGTCTCCTCGAATGGGCCTGAATGTTTTATTTATTTATTTATTTAAACGCATAAAAACTTGGTACAATATGGCACCAAGAAGGATGCGCCACACAATAATAATGAAACAACATAGATCAAATGAAAAAAGAAAGAAGAGAAATATATATATGAGTAGAGAACGGATAAAGAACTTCATCTGGAAGGAAAACAGTCATCATCGGGAAGGGAAGAAAGAAGGAAATTGCAACACGTGTATTAGCAGGCGATAAGTTTCATTGACTGTTTGTTGCTGCACTCAATTCATTGTGTCAGGGCTGAGATACTGCCCGGGCGCCCAGACCAAAGCAGGTGGTTTTATTAAGGGACGACCCACCCCGAGTCTGACTTGGAGTCTAATCCGCAAGGCAGCGGAGCAGCGTCAGGAGCTGCATTCCCATGGTTTCCGGTGACCCATATGGGTTCATACGCCATTTGATCCGATTGGATACTGGAGCCCATGTACCCCATGGTAACTGCTTTTAGTTTAACCGCTATCCAACAACCTTCCTGACATGGTAGGACCTGCAGGGACAGAGTCCCAGTCATTTTAGCAAGTCCGACCACCACGACAAGGTAGCAGTTATCGACCGGGGCCTGAATGTACTGAGTTAGTCAGGTGTTTTGTTACGGAACTATAAAGACATCTACTTTCTCCTTTTGCTAACCAGGCTAGATAGTATTCCTGAGAGTTATTCACAATCGGATGCATGGTACAGCAGACGTACTCAACTCTATAGGGGCAACTGAACTGATATATGCATGATGTTGTGGTATAGTACGACAGCTTATCTTTCACATGATGGTCGTAAAGTTCTCTGGAGTAAAATTTTACTCGTAGACTGGCAGTGAAGTATGCTTTACTAGGAGGTCTTGAAAGCTGTCTTCAGAGAATTTCTGCCTTAATATCAATTTTAAACTCCAGATTCAGCAGCAGAATCTTGCCAGAGTCAGTCTGGACTTGTTGAGCAACCTTCTTGTCTATGAATCTAGATGAGAAGCCATTTTCAACCACGATTCTTCGTCAATATATTTCTTGGTGCATATTTTCCAAGCACTATTCACTGAGTGATCTATACACATTGCGCATTAAATCCTCACAGGAATTTCATAAAAGGCAGCAATAAAGTTTCTATTACTAATACAATGCTTTAAAATATTTTCCTGAATAATGACGTTTGTGATACAGGAGAGTACCCTGGATGGGACAATCTAAGTAATTATTCTGAACATTGGGATAAAACGCTCAGTATACTAAATGCAAATTAATGTTTTGCATGCAATAAAGAACATTACCAGGGCAAGTTATGTGTACAACGGAAAAAGATACAATCATGAAAACATTTTAACATACTTGTTGTAATTTACGACTCAATACACCATTCTCTTTAATAACTTCAGATAACTTCCCTTCAGCTGAACGTGCAGCTGACAAAGCTTTTTCAGCTCTAGCCTCAACTTCTTCAATACGTTCATTTGATTGAGTTGTAATCAAATCTAATTGTGCTTCGAAATAGGCGCGTTGTGATTCTAATTGACTTGTTAGAATAGCACTAAATTCCATGCTAAGCATGTCTAATTTTTTACTACCAGTTTCACTACTTGGACCAAGCTGAAATGGAATACACATTTATGCGTTAAAAACTAATTCAAAATATGAGCTATACAACATGCTTGTAGTATTTATAAACGTAAATGTTAGAAAGAAAATTCGTCAAAACCACTGCTTACTATATTATGTGTAAGGTATGTAATAGTAACGACGAGTGAGAAAAGATGTGGCATTTGAAAGCGATAGACTTGAAGAGGTTAGCTGCCTTCGACTACATATGTTTAATTTTCATCTCTTGTGTTAAGTGCTACAGTATAGAGGTTAGGCATACTGTTAAATAAGCGGGACAAGTCAATCGATCGATCGAGCTACATCAACTGAGACGGTCAAAACATGCGTTACACATTGCAAACCACCATCTCCCAGGTCGATCAATGTTATTTGACATGGAATTAAGTTGAAAAACGATAGTCAAATCAAAATATGGCATTAATCCATGGAGTCTGACTGTCGGTAGAGATGTAGATTATAAGGTTGGGGTCCACAAGACGCTTGACCGTGATCCATTAGTTGGAAATCAAGTCACAACTTCACCAAAACTATTTCTGTGGGTCTGGGTGGCTTTTATATTAGGTGATTGGATGCAATTCGCAGAAAACTTTGGAATAATTTAAGAGTAAATGGCGTGCATAGTTTAGTTATAATACACGCATCAGAATCTTCCAACTTTAATGTTAATTGCTTGAACAAGGCAAGGAAGCATGTAATCTTCGACAAAGGGTTCAGAAATACATATTTACTCAGATAAAATAGGAATGTGATTGCTGCGGAAGTTGTATGTATTAGGAAACGTACAGTCTATCAGGTGACACATCAATAACAAAACCATTTGCTTAAACGTAAATAAAAATCATTCATACAAATGTAGATATAAACCGAAAAAGATTGTTATCGATTAAAATAGTTTAAAGAAATGAAATACCCAAACATGAAATTCTGAGAATACAACTGACCTGAACTAACTTCCCATCTTCATGGTTAACAGCCAACCGATGAACGTAAGCATCATCAGCATAATCCCATACTAAAGTTTTGCCAAGCTCTAGAGCAAATGTATGCCCTGTCTCTTCAAAATGCAGTTGTGCATGCTTTTGACCATATCGTCCACAGCCAACATGACCGCATATAAGACAAATCCATAAGTTTTCTCTAATATCACAGTCTGCACACTGACCATCAGCAAGCATTTCAGGTGACTGAACATAACGACAAACTGGACAACTATAAAAATACATTATGATAGTTTGTTTTTGTCTTACATTGTATCTTCTACTCGTGAAATGCATTCATCATGGAATGTATGATTGCACAGAATTGTAGTCAGAATCCCTTGCACAGGTTCATCCTGTAGTTTTAAAGGTTATTGGTTACAATTTACACCTAAAAATAAGCCTACCAGACGTTCTAAGCATACTGGGCAGGAAGGTAATTCTCTTAGATCTTTTGTAGGAAATGCAACACCCTGAAAAAAAAATTGTGAATAATTTCTTATTAAAGTGTTCGTACTGTAGAAGGATGTGTGATCTCCACATGTGACACATACATTAGCTGACACACTTCTGACTCCAAAGTATTGTAGCAAATACCGTTATAAGCATCATAAAATTGATCGGTATCTTCCTATGAAAGTAAAATGGGAATAGCAAGTACGTACAGGTGTACGAAACTTAAGAAGTGCCATGTACCGGTTAGGTGTACAGTCTTTTACTATTTTCAGCTCTTCTATCACATTACTGAAATACTTGATGATAAACCTTAAAAACGTACGTACCGCATAGGTGAAATGAAAACCAACAGGTCTTTTACTGTTATATGAGATGGTACTGAGAAGAAACACAACATTGTACTTGTAACGATAGCAGCACATCGAGGAACTTCTCTCCTAGTAAACGCTTAAATAAATAGATAATGCGTGAACGTACTGGTTCTTATATATGTGAATAATACCCTCAGTAGTTTCAACAGTAGGATTGCCAGAGAAGAAATTTATCTCATTGTCTCTCTCAATATTCCACGGTTCTGGATTATCTAAAACCAAAGTGATATTATACAGAAACCCCCTACTCATCATGTAAGTTTCGACGACAATGTTATTAAATTGTCTGCTACCGAGTGTATCTGAAGTGCTTGAGTTAGAGTGTCTAGTTTTTTTAAGAGGCTTTCGAATGATAAACGGGTACGGCAAAGACGGAGCTAAGTAAATATTCTAAAACACACAAGATCACCTACATCGATAAGAAATAGTTTTTGATAATTTCGGCTTAGTTTCTTCAAATAGAATGACTAAGTGATACAGAGACTGAGTGTGCATTCCACGAGAGATTTAATTCACAAGCGCTTGGACACCATATGATGACTAACAACACCAGACCTGTGCTGTAGAGGAAATTAATTTTCTACGAGTACCGTATATGTCGAAGAAGCCGCGGCATCCAAAAGTCAATATGTTTTCGGCGAGCCCCTAATAGCATGACCTCTTGCAAGAGCTTGTTTAAATATTATGATTCTTTGGCATTCAATTATAGTCGTTTATGAACGATAATGACACCGTTCAGTTTCATATAAAATGCATGCGTACTCTGTTTTCCAATGGTGTTTGGATCCAATATCCAATATCGTTTTTACGAGCTAGCATAAACTAATTTGATTTCTTTGTGCTCGCTTCTTGATTGTGAGGTGTAGGTTCCTGATCTTTGGCAAACTTCTGAGTAGCTCGTCCCCCACTCGACTGTCGTAGCTTTGGTTGACTCCAAAGGGAGTAGTGCCGGGATTAATTATATGTGGTTTGTAGTATGAGGTGTGTTAAGACTGTTGCTACTGTGAATGGAGTTGATCCTTTCGCCAGTTAGTCCTCCAGTATCGTTGACAAGAGAAAAGAGATAATAATAATGCCAATAATAGATATAATTAGTGAAGTTATATAGACTAACAGACATAAACGGAAATCGGAAAGCGTAACAACAGTCAACTGATTAAATTTGAAGAATTATATATATATATATATCGGTAATCCAATATCCTGATTACGAGCTAGTATAAACCAGTGATTTTTTTGAGCTCGCTTCTTGATTGTGAGGTAGAGGTTCCAGATCTTTGGTGAGCTTCTGCGTAGTAAGTCCCGCCACTCGACTGCTTTAGCTCTGGTAGACTCCAAGAGGAGTGGTGCAGGAATTGGTCAAGATGTGGTTTGTAGTATGCAGTATGTTAGGACTGTGTTGCTGCCGTGAGTGGAGTTTGACCTAACTCCCGTTGGTCATTCGGTATACTCATATAAGCAGAAGAGTAATAATAATAATAGGTTGTAGTGTGGATAATATGTGTTGAGATAAGTGAAATAATAAAGGTGACCTAAGGGCAAGATAGAGTAGTTGGTACAGTGACAGAAGGCAGAACAGGTCGTGGGGATTTAGTTTGTATGCTTATCAATTGACAGTGTGGTTTTAATTTTTATGAGGATAAGCCATTGAGACACAAACCTTGCATTTCTGCATGATTGTCTAACTTTAGCTTAAAAACCTCCACAGATGGCGCTGTAGTCACGGTCGCCAGTAAAGCATTCCAGAGACGGCAAACTCGAAGCGAAAAGAAATGTGAGCGCACTCGAGTCTTTGGTCTCTGGTGTGCTATCCTTAGCGGGTTACCTCGTGGAAGCCTATAATCACTTAATGGCAGGATGCTTTTATTTGGGTGGGCCTGGTCATTTAAGATCTGGTAGACGGTGATGAGGTCTCCCCTGTGCCTACGGTAACTAAGTGTGAAAAGACCCAATTTCGTTAGTCTTTCCTCGTATGATTTGTTACGGAGGCCGATCACCCGTTTTATCGCTCGTCTCTGGACACTTTCCAGAATGTTAGCATCCCTTTTGAGTAGCGGAGGTGCAGTGATATTATGCACCTCAAGGTATGGTCTCACCTATGTCTTGTATAACCTTAAGAACAGTTCGGGAGTAAGAGCTTCCAGCTGCCTGTGCATAAAGTGTAAAGTTGCATAGGCTTTGGCGACGCCCCTCGCGTAATTTCCACTGGTGTCTAGCTTTTCTGTTAGAATAAGACCTAGATCGCGCTCTGATGGAACACAACTGAAGTTCTGACCACCAAGGGTGTAATTTACACTCTGTGACCTGCCCGAATGAAGTTGCACTACTTTGCACTCCTTCAGGTTGAAAGGCATTCCGTTAGCCAGGGCCAAGTCTCCCAGAGTTTGCAGGTCAGCCTGCAATCTATCTGAGTCTTCCAATGAGTTTATTGCTCTCCAAACCTTTACGTCATCAGCGTAAAGAAGCGCAGAGCAGTTCAGTTGAGAAGGCAGGTCGTTGATAAAAATCAAAAACATCAAAGGGCCTAGGATAGAGCCCTGAGGAACCCCTGATGCCGAAGTGTGCCAGGATGATCGGATGCGGTTGACTTTGGTGCAGAATTCTCTCTCGCCTAGGTAATCTTTCAGCCATGCGAGAAGTGCTCCAGAAACACCCGCCTTGCTTATTTTGTGAAGAAGCAGACCATGGTGAACTGTGTCGAATGCTTTCGCAAAGTCAAGAAAGATCACATGGGCTGTTATCCTTTCGTCCCAGGATAGTGTCCAATCGTTCCAAGCTAGTAGAAGATTCGTCACGCAGGATCTTCCCCTACTGAAACCGTGCTGTGCTTCGTGAAGAAAATTAGTCCCGTCGAAGTATTTTCTCATGTGGTCGTCAATGAGACTTCCCAATATCTTTGATATCACTGGAAGTAGAGCAACTGGTCTGTAACTGGTCACATTCTGCCGGTCACCACCCTTGAAGATAGGGGATAAGATTGCTCGTTTCCATTCACATGAAAGTTTCCCTACATCAAGGGAGTGTTAGAACAGATCACTTAGGGGTTGGCAGAGACTTTCTGAACACTGCTTCAGGACGGATGGTCTGATATCCTCACAACCTGAAGACTTTCCCGAAGCTAACTTTCCCAATTTTACAAGCATCATGGAAGGGTAATTTGAAATGTACCCAGCAGGTTTTCGCGCGTTGGTTTTGCAATGTAATCTTGATGTTTTGTGGGGGTAATATCCTCGTTACTGTTTAGTTGCCTGTAAAAGGCTAGGCTGAATGTCTCTGCCATTTCACGACTCGCAAGAGATTCCCTATCAGAATTCACTAGATTGCATGCTCCCTGGTTGGTCAGTTTTCTTTCAGACATAAACCTGTATTGGCTTTTGGGTTTCACGAGAAGCTTATTGGCGAGGTTTCCCTGGAATGTCCTTCTATCGCTCTGGACTCGTATGTTACATCGATTCCTGAGTTCAAGGTACACTTCAAGTTCCGGTTGACCCTTCGATCGTAGCCACGCAAACCAGGCTTTTCACTTCGCCTGCAGAAGGCGTTGCGTCCCCCCTTTTAGCAATGAACGTTGCTTCCTAGCTTTGGGTGTGACTAGAGGGACAGTACCTGAGACCGCCTGGTGAATGATCTCGTTTACCACTCTCCAGTATTCTTCTACTGAGAGCTGTCAGCCACGTCCCATAAACAGTGAATGCACAGCTCTCGCTACGCTCGGGCCCACGCTGTTCCTAGAAGCTTTCAGAAACGCTTAGTTATAACGAGCGAAAAAACCAAAACACCGATTGGCCGCATGAGAATTATTTATTGTTACACCAACATATAAAAGGAATAATTGAACTAAGGTCTGTGAACAAATATTACAATAATAAATCACAAGATTACTTCTGACGATATTTTACTCTTCTTTCTGAACAGCGACCGATGAGACGATGACTGTCGTATTGATGCCTCCGCGAAAATTGGGGAAGTTGATTTTGAGCAAACAACCATGAATTGATCGTTCAATCTTCAACTACATTGACACTCCCCGGCAAAAAAGGGATCCATCCCTTTTTTCCTTCACGACCAATACACGTTGACTTGGATGCCATTGCGAGAACCTGAGTCACACGGACAGAGCTGAAATGGTAAACAAACAGAAAAGCCAACACACCACGAGCATACCCACAGCACAATCTCACACATCAATGACGACATGCGCCTCCAGACAGAGACCTCTTCTTGACATCTTCCAACACAATCGCCACTTGCTAGAATGACTCTTGCAGAATGCAACGTGACCATAGCACCAACTCATGATACTCTACGCACATCGTCTTATCTACTCACTACCAATTACCACTGCAATCGCTTGTCACTCATTCTGCCTGAGTTCTAGTAGCGGTGACGCATGCGAGCCTCAGTCGTTTACACTCTTTCTCCCCGGCGTGTCGGACCGCAGCTGACAATTATCTCCGTGTGCATTTCATTCTCAGAAATAGCCTCACCGGCGTATACGACCCATCTGCTGTCCTTAACATCAATCAATTCATTCTTGGATGTAGAAGACTCGAAACAACTTCAGAAATAATCACGACGAAAATTTTAACAAAATTACGCAATAACAACAAGACACGAAAACAACAAGTAAACACAATGAATCCAAAATACACCAATTGATATGACACACCACACGTATATACAAATTGTACAAACAACATCGCCGATCATGTCTTGGTGGAATTCCTTTGAAGAATCGCAGGACTTACACCAGTACGCATACAACCCTTCTCAGGTTGACGATTGTAAGTTGTGGAATGTACGGACACAAACAAGATTAACCAACAATTACATCAATTGGAACTCACGAAATTATTTAACACAAACATATGTACAATCAACACATCAAATGTTGTGGATTCTGACGCGACAAACTACCCTTGAAGAACCGTAGGACTTACAGCAGTACGCCTACATTCCTTCTCAGGTTGATGATCCAAGTGGAAGTCGTCCGGACACAAACAGAATTACCAACAGCTAGATGACAGATGATATCAATTCAGTATATACAATATGAACATATGTACAAAATCACACACCAAGCACATTGGACTGCTCATTGATGCGCTACCCTTTGAAGAACTGTAGGACTTACACCAGTACGCCTAAAACCCTTCTCAGGTTGACGCTCTAGGTTGGAAAATCGTCACAGAGTTCATTTGCTAACTTCCTTCTATCAGCTATATCCTCAAATCTGAACAGCAACACGCCCATGTAATTGTATCGTAGAATATAGATGACCAACAAACACACGACATATCTCATCAACCTAGTGTAGAAACAGAGTAATTTACACCAAAGATAATAACATTCAAATAGTAACTTGAAACTAGAAATGCCTTTATTCATGCAAGTCAATTTAACAATAACTCTCTCCTTTACACTTGGCTTATCCACACTAAACTGACCATTGATATTCGTCCTTTCAAACGAACTGATACTACCATAGTCATTGCACAAGATACTTGAGTTGATGGGTGTCTGTTTCATTGTGGATGACAGCACCAACGATGACTGAGTGACACAAGGTGATGAACTTAGTGGTGGATCAGAAGCTGTTCTTGTTCGGCGCTCAGATAATTGTCCAACTGCAAGATTACCAC